CTCTTATTTGCAGATGACATGATATTATACATACAAAACCTGAAAGACTCCATCAAAAAACTATCAGACTTAATCAATGAATTTGGCAGTGTAGCAGGATACAAAATTAACCCCAAGAAATCTGAGGCATTTCTATACACCAATAGTGAACTTTCAGAAAGAGAGATTATAAAAACAATCCCCGTTACCATCGCACCAAAAACATTAAGCTACCTAGGAATAAACTTAACTAAAGAGGTAAAAGACCTCTACTCAGAAAATTACAGGACTTTGAAAAAAGATATAGAGGAAGACATAAACAGATGGAAGAACATACCGTGTTCATGGATTGGTAGAATCAACATCATTAAAATGTCCATACTACCCAAAGCAATCTATAAATTCAACGCACTTCCAATTAAAATACCAACGGCATACTTCATAGATCTAGAACGAACTCTCCAAAAATTCATCTGGAATAAAAAAAGACCCAGAATTGCTGCAGCAATCCTGAAAAAGAACAAAGTAGGTGGGATCTCAATACCAGACATCAAGATGTATTACAAAGCCATTGTTCTCAAAACTGCCTGGTACTGGCACAAGAATAGGCATATAGATCAATGGAATAGAATAGAGAGCCCAGAAATTGGCCCAAACCAATATGCTCAATTAATAGAGCCCTTTTATTAATCTTTCATAATAAGGCATTGTTTGGTCATTAAATATTTTTATGGAGCATGTAGCCTGTGCTGGACACCATGAGGACACAATTTGTTTTCTAGGAGTTTACTATTAAACAAGGCAGTGCAGGAGGTGCCAGGAGGGAGGGCATTTTGAGCAGGAACAATGAGGAAAGACTGGGAAGGAAGTGGCCCTTGAGTTGAGTGTTAAACATAGGTAGAATTCTATCAGCTGTGGTCAGTATGTGCAATTGCAATTTAAGGTTTTGTGGATGTTTTAATTAAAACATTAAGTCAAATCTTCTCATTGGGCAGGGTGATGTCAGAGTTTGAGAGCCCCCTCAGTCTCTCCTGGGCTAATAGAATCTTGCGTAGGTTTGTGGAATCTTACAGTCGAGAGCAGAGGCCTAGGGACTGAGTGCTGTTAGGGCTTCTGCCTCCTGAGGTGGGTTGGCTAAGGCTGGAAGGAGCAGCAGCTAAGAGGGAAGATGGCAGTCAGATTGCCTCCGTTGGCCCACACTTAACAGTTGGGGAGAGTAGACTGAGCACATGGACTCCCACTAAGAGTTTTGTATTATTTCCAAACTTCGATGTGTCAGAGGTACTATAAAATGAAAATACCCTGTTAAAAATGGGAGACAGATTTGGACTGAAATTAAAATGAGAAACTGGAAGTCCTGGGGATTAACCATTAGGAACAGTGGAGATGGAGGATTAGGTGATACTATGTGGGCATGCAAGGTGAGGTATCTTCTGAGAAAACACAGGATGAGAAAAATCATAATTTGCAAAATATACTCATTAGCAGTGGTTCTCAATCTTCTGGCCTTTTCAATACAGTTCCTCATGTTGTGACCCAACCATAAAATTATTTTCGTTGCTACTTCATAACTGTAATGTTGCTACTGTTATGAATCGTAATGTAAATGTCTGATATGCAGGATGTTCTTAGGCGACCCCTGTGAAAGGGTCGTTCGACCGCCAAGGAGGTCGCGACCCACAGGTTGAGAACCGCTGCATTAGAGGGTGATGGTTAACTCATGTAGTGAGGATTCACTGGAACATAATTTTTCAGCAAATATTTGTGTGCTCTGTGTGCAAGGAACCATGATTGATGTGAGAGAGATGTCAAGGTGAATCAGAAAGAATCCTTTCCTCTAAGGATTCCCCACTTTGGGCAGGCAGACCTGACAGTTACAGTGGGGGCTTTTGTGATGAGTGATGTAATAAAAATACGAACCAAAGTGCTCGGGAGAGTGGATGGATTTTGACTTTGAGATCCTCCAAGATGCTTGAGAAGATGTCAAAGATGTCACACATAGAAGGAGGGACGGTGGCTTTCCAGGCAGAGACAGGGTGGAGAGCAAGAGCACTCAAACCTGAAAGGTTGTGGTGTGGCCCTGAAACATGGCACTGCTTGGAAGGGGTGGCTGAAATGTCAGCTTTGTGAAGGGATGGAGAGGGAAAGTGTTCTAGAACTTTGTTCTGTAGGAAATGGGGATCCACTGAATGTTCGAGACAGAGAGTAGCATCAGTTGGATATGTATTAGATGTTTCTGGTGGCCCTGGGGAGAATGTGTAGAGGAGGGGGTGTGCCTGGAAGGCTACCCGAGGGTTGTTGAAATTGAGTTCAGGGGAGAGGAGGCTGGAATTTTGCAGGGGAGGGGCAGAGGAGGGTTGTTTGAGAGCTTTTGTACTTTTCCTAAACCTGAGCGCTCTCTTCTAAAATTAAATCAGATTCAGTTTATTAAGAAAAAGAAGTTGCTTTTGACAAATACAGATCTTTGTATTGGTATCATTGGTCTGGGAGGAGGTCTCCCTGTTTAAAGGAACGGAGCCACATGGGCAATTAGAAGTGTTAGGAAGGAGGACTGAGGATAAGGATGGCAATATGTGTGGAAATTCCTGCTCTTGTGGGCTGGCTCTGGTTATATACCAGCCTGTCCTGGCGCTCTTCTCACCTCTCTCACCTTCCGCTGGCTTCTTTTCCTCCTTATCCATAAACAGAGGCTTTCCCCAAAGTTCTTCCAGGCATTTTTATTTTTTTCATCCCATCCAACTATTTCTAGCCCTGATGTTTCTGCCTTCCACCTGGGCAAATGAACTCTCAAACCTGTTGGCTTAACTGGAGGGTGGGATGACTTATCTGCCTATAGAATCATGAGACTTGACTGAGAAACTGCATAGAAAACATTTCGTCTAAGGCCTTGAAACAAAATACATGCTCAATAAATAAGTATCTACTACACATTTTAGTCCTTTGAGGGTTTGGTATTTTTCGTTCTTACCTGTTTAGCATTGTACTTGCTCCAGTTAGAGTTCAGAATTTGATCTAAAACTGCCAAAATTATACTTTGGATTCCTCATCAGTACGTCATAGGATTTGTCTTTCTTAGAGATGGATGGGTGACCTTCGCATTCTTATCTCTACTGCTTGGGACCAAGAGTTCATTTATGAAAACGGGTGACTGGAGCTAGCAGCTAGGGAACAAAAAAGCAAACACTGACATTCCTGCCCCATGTGACCTTCCTGCTGTACACACACATGTTGTCTTAATCAGATGAGTAATCTGACAAACAAGGAACCAAATTCATTTCATAGCTTTAGGAATTAAAGTTGAGGATTGAAGAGAGAGGGGGTCCTGTTTATGAGAAAGGAGCGTTGCCATGTAAAGAGACAGCGGGGCTTGCTGATGTGGCCATTGGCTGCAGTGGGTGCTGTTGAGTTTGTGGCCGGAGGAAGTGCAGTCAGGAAATGGGGAGGCTGCCTTCTCTACAGAAAAGCAAAGCTGCAGCATGGACTTTTATATACTAGGCTTGTGTTGGAATAAAGAGGGTGGGATTGAAAATTCTCTTCACTTGCTGTATCCATTGCTTTTGGCTTCTGGATAGCTGTTGACCAGGAAGGTTAGTCTCAGAAAGGCTGAGAAATAAGTGAGGGAGAAATTTTAGAGCCTTTGGCATCTGTCAAATAGGATTTGGGTTGGAGGCGAAGCCTTAATTCCTTCTAGGAGGGGGAAAACACAGGTCTTTGTAGATTCTTTGTTCAATAACAGAATTTTCAGGATGGTCCCAGCTGAGCCACTGGACCAATTCCACAAGCTTGTGAATGGAAGTTGTTTTAAGTAGACCATGGTCTAATTGATTTGAGGTTGTCTAACTCCTATGGCATCATGTTTGTGAAATCTGATAGCTGTTCTCATCCTGTTATTTAGTAGTTTCAACCTGTACTTTAGTATTGCTTTTTGTTGTTGTTGTTAGAGATACTATAATATTGTAAAACTCAAAGCAAATCTGTTTCTGTGCTTGGCATTATCATACCCCATGTCTCACTGTTCCGTGTTGAACTGCATGTGAGTTTTCTAGTTGATTGTCTCAGGTGTTTAGCTGATGAACACTGTCCCGACAGTAATGCAATGTTTTCCTCTGTTTCCAGCTATTGTGGATGATGAAAGGCTCTCTGCAGAGGAGATGGATGAGAGGCGGCGGCAGAACATCGCTTATGAATATTTGTGCCACCTAGAGGAAGCCAAAAGGTGAGACCCAGACTTGGCCTATTTGTGTACCTTCTCTTGCAGATAAGCTTTGGGGTACCATACTTTTAGTAACTCCTCTGCACTCTTGTTGGTAGGAGGGTAACGGAGAAGAACTACCTATTTTTTGTAAATGATCAAGCAGAATTGAGAAAAAGTTCCTACCACAGCCAAGGCCAAGGCACCAGGGAAACAGCTGCTCCTTTTCCTTCTTCAGAGCCTCCCAGGAAATCTCTGGGCAAGTTGCAGATTATTTCAAATTTCTCATCTCACTCGCTTGGATGTGGGGGAGCAGCAAAGACTTACATCAACTCCCTTTCCCCCAGAGCTTCGTCAGATCTTTTCCCACCTTTACCCCAATGATTATACTAGTAAATGCCCCATAGGACAATAGCATTTTGGACTAAAGTCCATTGGTCACTATGCTAGAGAGTAGGTTTATGACAGCAATCTCCTTTGTAATTCATGGGTGTGTGACTACTTAGGATATGTTCTCTAAACTCACACTGACTCTTAGACTTCTTAGATTATAAGTAAATGTTGGGTTCTCCAAGGAGAAAGTGCAGATAAAGAAGGTATTTGCACTTCGGCTTCTGTGCCAAAGGAATCGGAACTTTGGCCTTTGCATACTGCAGTGCTCATAGGCCATGAGTTAGATTCTGGTTAATGGTTTGGTCTGTATTGGAGCAACATTATTGTTCCACAGGCAAATGGCATATTCCCAGCTCTCTTATCTATAGAGAAAATAAACATTTAGTTAATGGTCAATGGTGTTAATTACCTCTGATCACTAATAAATAGCTATCTACAGAGCCAGAAGAATGAGGTTTTTTTAGTCAATGTGTATAGGCCATTTAGTGACACATGTGCTAATTTGGCTTCAGAATTATTTAAAAGAGCACTTCCCAGGGTTGTTTCATATTTTAACAGTGTCTTGTAACTCTAAGCTCTAAAGACTAAGTTTTAAAGGTTATTTAACATGTCTTTGAAATCTACAGTTAGGTTGCAGGTCACTGAAGACTCATTATCAGTCTAAGATGGTTAAGAACATGCTTTTAGTCAAGTTGCTAAAAAAGTTAGATAAGGAGAGTGATTCATAGACATTCAAAAATCAACATGCTTTCAATGAAAAAATTTAGGGGAGTTGGTAGAGACTTCCTCCTGACACACGCTTTGCAGTCTAAGTTTTTGCCTCCTGTTCTTGGTGAGTGGGAAGCAGTGTCACACAGAGAAGGTGTGTGATTGGGAGTCAGCAGACTGAATTTCCCGGTCCCACCTTCAACACTTAGGAGCTGTGTGACCTTGGGTGAGTCATCTGTTTTGTGGAAACTTCAGTTTTGTTTGTTCTGTAATGGGATGATAAAGATGTTACACCATCTGACCTACTTCATGGATTTTTCCTCCTAAAAATCAACTAAAATCAAGAAGGTGTGTGTAAACTATAGTGCCAGTCGGGTGTATAGTTATAACATGAGCACAGTTTACTCCTGAATGTATCAGGGTGGTATCAGTATAGCTTGAAAGCTTGTCATATTCTTTATGTAGTTGAATATTGTTTTAGAAAAGTCAACTTAACCATTAGCCCAGGTTCTTTAAAGAAAGCCTCCTTAGAAATAGTTTCATTGAAAGAAAAGACTGTATCCAGTTTTTCCTCTTAGTTTTTATAAATTCATTTTACAAGGAGATTTTGAAAAATGTGTACTTATGAATCTTTTATGGAGATCTGAACACTTTTTGTGACTTTCAGGAAAGCTGGTTTTTGGTCATAGGGTATGTAAAAGCTATGTGGCTATTAAGAGAAGTATTAATATGTGTGCTATGATTTCAGAAAGCATACTATACAGAATTCTGACAATGTTAATGCCTTAGGAATTTGTCATACTGAGTTTATTATAGTGCATGCTTATGTCTGTGTTCATATGACTATAGTTGGCTTAGAATATTGAGTTTGTGCTAAATGGTACACTTAGAATATGTAAGTTTAGCCAGGAATTCTTTCTTGTTTCTTATTTCAGTTGAACTGACTTCCATGTATTTTAACTAGAAATGTGTTGGTTCTGTCTTTGTGCCTCTTTTCTTTCTTTCCAGAAGTGAGAATGGAAGGATTTCTAGTTTATATGTATTAAAAATTCATAATTATAATAGTTTACATATCTTTAACTTTAAAAAAGAAATAAAAAAGACAAATACTATGAATAATTATATGCCAACAAATTACAAAACCTAGGTGAAATGGACAAATTCCTGGAAAGACACAAACTACCCAAACTAACTCAAGAAATAAAAAATCTGAACAGACTTATAACAAGTAAAAAGATCCAGTTAGTAATAAAAAAAAAATTCCCACTCTCACAAAAAAATATGAGAGGAGACTTTCCAACTTATTCTATTGAGACCAGATACCAATATCTTTGTCTAGTTTTGGTGTCTGATACTAAAATAAAATAAACATACTTCAGGAAAACTATAGATCAATATTCCTTATCAATACAAATACAAAAATTTTCAGTAAAACACTAGCAAACCAAGTCCAGCAGCATATAGAAAGGATTATAAACCACCAAGTGGGATTTATCCCAGGAATGTAAGCTTAGTTGAACCACAAATCCAATTAGAACAATTCAATGGGGGAAAAAAAGTCTTTTCATATACAAAAATTGTCTTAAAATAGATTGTTAATCTAAATGTGAGAGCCACAACTATACATTTCTTATAAGAAAACATAGGAGTAAATCTTTATGACCGTGGGTTAGGCAATGATATCTGAGACTGAACACCAGAAGCATGAGCACAAAAAAGAAAATAAATTAGACATTATAAAAAAGCTAGAGGCCCGGTGCACAAAATTTGTGCACTGGTATATATATGTGTGTGTGTGGGTGTGTGTGTGTGTTGGGGTGCGTGGGGTGTCCCTCAGCCCCTCCTGCACCCTCTCCAATCTGGGACATTCCTCTCACAATCCAGGACTGCTGGCTCCCAACCACTTGCCTGCCTACCTGCCTGATTGCCCCTAACCACTTCTGCCTGCCTGCCTAATCGCCTCCTAACCACTCCCCTGCTGGCTTGATTGACGCCTAACTGCCCCCCTGCCAGACCGATCACCCCCAACTGCCCTCCTGTGCTGGCCTGGTCACTCCTAACTGCCCTCCCCTGCAGGCCTGGTCCCCCACAAGTGCCCTCTCCTGCAGGCCTTGTTGCCCACAACTGCCCTCCCCTGCTGGCCATCTTGTGGTGGCCATCTTGTGACCACATGGGCATGGTCATCTTGTACGAGGGTGTGACGGTCAATCTGCATATTATCTCTTTATTATATAGCACTAGGGGCCCGGTGCACGAAATTCATGCACTGGGTGTGTGAGGGGGGGTGTCCCTCAGCCCAGCCTGCCCGCCTCCTAACCACTCCCCTGCTGGCTTGATTGACGCCTAACTGCCCCCCTGCCAGACCGATCACCCCCAACTGCCCTCCTGTGCTGGCCTGGTCACTCCTAACTGCCCTCCCCTGCAGGCCTGGTCCCCCACAAGTGCCCTCTCCTGCAGGCCTTGTTGCCCACAACTGCCCTCCCCTGCCGGCCATCTTATGGTGGCCATTGTGTCCACATGGTGGCGGCCATCTTGTATGTTGGACTGATGGTCAATTTGCATATTACTATTTTATTAGATAGGATGAGCACTTCAATATGGAGGTAAGCCCTATTGGCTGCTGTTGACAAAAGATATTTCTAATATTTTTTCCAGTTTTGTTTCAAGATTATGGAATAAACCTATGTTGCAGTCTTCCTTAGCTCACTGCTTAGCAATGGCAGATATGAAATTAAACTGACAAATACACAGATAGGTTGGTAGGCAGTGGAC